GCTCTCCACTCGGTAGGATTTTTTCAAACTTAGGCGAGTGCCGGACTGCAGCTAAGTTTCCAAGTGAGAGAACTTAGGCGAGTATTGGACTGCAGCTAAGCCCCCGAGTGGGAGGATTGCTCTCCACTCGGTAGGATTTTTTCAAACTTAGGCGAGTGCCGGACTGCAGCTAAGTCTCCAAGTGAGAGGAGTTAGGTGAGTACTGGACTGCAGCTAAGCCCCCGAGTGGGAGGATTGCTCTCCACTCGATAGGATTTTTTTTAAATACTTAGGAGAAACGGATTCGCAGCTAAGCCCCCGAGTGGGAGGCTGGCTCGCCACTCGGTAGGAAACTGTTTTTACAAGCTTAGGCGAAGCGGATCCGCAGCTAAGCCATCCACTGGGGGATTTCTTACGCAAACAAAAACAATAATAATCACTGGGAAAATTATAACGCTCTTATCTTTGATAAATAAACTACATGAGTTTTTCTTATTACATCTCATCCGAGTGAGAATTTAAGTATAAAAGGGGTGGAGTAGCTCCGCATTCCAGGCTCGTGGCTCATCAATCTGGCGATCGACATTGTAGAGGTGGTATGCTCCATTGTGGAGGACTCTGGTGACTATGAAGGGGCCTTCCCAAGTAGGAGCGAGCTTGTGTGGTTTCTGCTGATCCACTCGGAGGACTAAGTCTCCTTTTGAAAGGCTCGGCTCTTCACATTTCTGGCATGGAATCGACGCAAGTCTTGCTGATGGATGGTCGATCGAATCAAGGCCATTTCTCTTTCTTCTTCTAGGAGGTCGACTGCGTCCTGCCGGGCTTGTTCTGCTTCTTCTTCAGAGTAGAGCTCGACTCGGGGAGCGTTGTGAAGCAGGTCACTCGGTAAGACTGCCTCGGCCCCGTAGACCAGAAAGAATGGGGTTCTTCTGGTTGATCGATTCGGGGTTGTCCTCAATCCCCAAAGGACTGATGGAAGCTCGTAGACCCATGCACCTGTTACGTGCTTGAGATCGCGCATCAATCGAGGTTTCAGTCCTTTGAGAATTAGGTCGTTTGCCCTTTCTGCTTGCCCATTCGACTGGGGGTGAGCGACCGAAGCATAGTCAACCCGAGTGCCCTGAGAGGCGCAAAAGGCCCTGAATTTGTCGGAATCGAAGTTTGACCCATTGTCCGTGATGATGCTATGCGGAACTCCATATCTAAATATCAACTCTCTGATGAAACTGATAGCAGTGCAAGCATCGAGATTCTTGATAGGCTTGAACCAGGAGAAAACCTAGGAACAACTAGGATATGGTCGCATGAACTAGTAGTCTATGATCATAGGAGAACTGAAAACTAGATGCCCAGATCATAGATTTCTGAATTTGCAGAAATAAAAACACTAAAGGGATAAAAACATGCTCAGGAAGCTAGCAATTCCATTTTGGAAAAACTAGTTTAAAACATACAAGGGGGAGGATTGCTCCAGCTGAGAGAAAATATGACTATTTTTACAAACTTTGGAAACTGAAAAACCAAACACTGTTAAGAAACTTTGATCTACTAGTTTTAGACACTTTCTACCTGTTCTTAAATGGTTGTGATTGAAGGACTGAATTTAATTAACTTTAGAAGTGTAAACTACTATGATCTGATGCTTTCTTACACCTAATATTGGTAGGCATTATCATAAGCACTAAAAATTGAAATTAACAGGAAAAAGGACAAACACAACCAGGCTAAAAACATTCACACTAGAAGGCACTCACACGAGTAGCAACAGAGAAAAATAATCTATGAAACCGATAACATATTTACAGTTCAGAACTAAAAGGACAAATTTGTGACTGTTAGATCAAATTACTGGGACCTACTGTAAAATTACTCTGCATCTACTTACAGTTCAGAACTGAATACTTGTGTGCACTAATAGATAGTTTACTCGAACTATTGAGGGCAGATGCCTACAATCGAACCAAATGTAATGAAATGCAGCATCGAAGGACAGGCGATGTACCTCAATGAAGACAAAGTTGATTTCCTTAAGATATGGCTTTCTAATAGCAGAAATCAATCCCGAAAACCAAAAAAACATTATAAAAAACATGCTTTCACAGAGCTACTTCAGGCGCAAATGATGTACAAGGTATAGTTACATTGCAAAATAAATCATAGAAAAGTAAAATAGAGAAAATCTACCAACACTAGTCATCAGCTAACGATGTCCAGTTTAATGTAGTGTGTTGGAAAAAGGGGGAAATTCAGAGTAGATCACTTTAATTTACACATTCCTAAAGTTACAAGCCAATGGAACAAAACACTCAAAAATTGCAGTGTAAGACATATGTTTTTGGAGGCGGCAACATGTTACCATGGACTAATAAAAGACTGAAACTAGAGTCCAAATCACTATTACTTATCTGAAAAAATTCAGTCCACACCACTGTCCAATTAACTCAAAGTTACAGCTCAAATCACTAACCAAAACACCAAACGGTCCAAATCATTGTTGCTTAACTAAAAAAATCAATCCACATCACTATCCAATTCACTCAAACTTAAAGTCCAAATCACTACCCAAAACACTGGAAATTGCAGTCCAAATCATTGTTACTTAACTGAAAAAATTCAGGCCACATCAGTATCAATTCATTCACAGTTACAGTCCGAAATCACTAACCAAAACCACTAAAAGTTACAGTCCAAAATCATTGCTACGAAACTGAAAATATTCAGTCCACCAAATACACATGGCGAGACTTAGGCCTCCTTTGGTTTAGAGGAATCTTGTAGGAATTTCATAGGATAGGATTTCTATAGGAAAAAATCCTTTAGAGCCCTTTGGTTTGTAGGAATGGAATCCTATTCCTATGGAGGAATTTTTCCTATCCTCCACATTTCATAGGAAAATAAACATTAGCCTAGACTCAATGGAAAAAATCCTATGATGTGAATCAAAGGGCATCTCTTTTCCTATTCAATGGAAAAAATTTGTGTGTCTAGGCAGAGTTAAATTTTAATCACACTTGAATATAGAATTATTGGGTAGTATGATGTGAGGCACAAAATATTTTATGGCTTCATCGCCATCTGCCCCCCCCCCCGCCATACCTAAATCCTGGCTCCGCCCCTGCCAATAATATGCTACATTTTTTGCATTCATTCATATATAAATCAGCTTCATTTTATTTAGCATTTCATTGTTCTGGTTCAGTGCTCTGGTATAAAGATTTCATTATTTCTTTGTCCCGTTATTGATGGAATTGATTGCAATTATTTCAATGCACTTTGGTTTTATGAAACATTACTACATTAGTATTTGGAATAGTAATGAGAATTGAAACTATAATACATATAATTTGTTATATTTGCTGATTGTATAGTTGTAGAATGTTTATCATATATCAGCAGCATGCATGGTGCATGCTAAGGTGGGTCTTTTCTCATGCATGGTGCCTGCTAAGGTGAGTCTTTTCTCATGCATGGTCACATGTTGAGTTGGCATAGTTGCATGTTAGAGAGAATAAGATATAGTGGCCACATGAGAGCACATGGCGAGAATTTTTACCCGGAACCAGTCCGTCCAACCGATTTGGAGCCACCACTGCATTCCACATTTACATGGAATATCCCGCTTCAAGGAACCAACTCATTCCATTCCACCACCTCAACCAAGCACGTGAATAATCTCCAAATCTAGAACCGACCCGTTATATTCCATCTCAGGACCTCAACCAGACACACCCTTATTCTTTCTTTGTTTAGGCTTCCCACTGGTAATACACAACAGGTGAAAGGTTTATCCTTTCTACTCTCTTTCTAAGTACATGGAGTTAATTTATTGTTTAAGTGTTTCTTCTTCTTGCTCTCTTTTAGTTCCAAATTTTGGCCTTATATACATATCCTAATTTTCAGTAGAAAGTAGCCCCTTTTCAATTGGAGATTCTGAAATGGCATCACTGAGCATTATGATTTATCTCAAACCTGCTCTTTTGTAGTTATCAGAAGTTATTTTTTCAAAGATCTTAACAAAAATAAGTCTTGGGCATTGTAGTTTCTGTAAGGTTGGGCACCTTTTTTCCTGTGTATTTTCTTACACCAACAATTTGAAGTGGATCTCTTATCAGTAGTTTTCGTAGCTCCTTTTGTTGTGTACTACAAGGCCATATTAAAGACATTTCACCTTTTATTTTCACAAATCCCCAAGAAATAATTTAATTTATTAACCTAAACAGACTAATTTTGTGGCCCCCAAACTATGTGCAATTGTTTGTCTAAGTAAGTTTCCTCTCTTTGATGGCTTGAGATGGCGACCATTGTTGGGTTGCAGAGTGGCGAGAATAGCAAATTGCTTTCCTATGTGTTTATCATCATGAAGTATCCTTAGTCATGTAGCTTTGTTGAGAATCCAGTGCAAGCACTTTTCCGCTTTAGTTGTCTGTCTTCCAGGAATTTCCTTTCCATGCGACAATCAAACTTTTCACAACTGAGTAGTGTATCATGCTTTTTCTTTCTGAAATGGTCACGTGCCAAATGCTTTGGGCCTCATATTGATCTTACATAACCTTCTTCTGTTTTCATGCTTCATGTGATCTAAGTATTGAGCCATGGGGTGATGTTTAGGCATTAATTAGTGACATTTAACCTTTCCAATTATTAACTCCATGTTTCCTGAAGTTATATTTTATGCATCTTCTGTGAATTTCTTGCTACACACTTATCAAGGTAAGCATAGCTCATCATTGACTAGGAAGCAGGCAAGCTTCCTCCTCTATACTATAAAACAGAACCGAGTACTCTTGTTGATCCATCAATGCTCATGTGTTCTTATTGTCTTATGGTGTCAATCATGTTTTGTTTTGCATTAAATCATTATTGTTTGTTCAATATTGCAGATGAATTTAAGCCAGCATCTATTAACAAGACTCAAGTTGGCTCTCTGCAGAAGAGCAAAGATAACCGGGTAACTGTGGAATTTCATAACAATCAGCCTGGCAGGCCAAAGGTGGCATTTGAGGGAAGGCAAGAAGAGTACAAGGATAATGATGGTGTCTTGTTTTTTGATGGTGAGACCTTTTGCCTGGGACGATTTCACCGGGCAGTCAAGAGATTAAGGCATGTCCAGGTTCCGGGAGAGTCTGTAGTAAGTTCCTTGGCAGCTACAACTACTAGAATGGGTGAATCTCATTCTCCTCCATTAGCGAAAGTTGGCAAGTTGCCTGCAACAAACAAACCTTCTATACACTCAGTTCTGGTAAGTTCTGTTAGCATGTTACATGCCCTAGCTAAATTTAGGTAATTGCTTCATCATTTGTTCATTTTTAGACATGGGAAGAAGAGGACATGAGACAATAGGTATCCGTTATACAATTATAGGTACTTTCTAAACTAACAAATATTAAAGCACATAATGTCTTTGTCCAGAGTTCATTGTCACCATCGATGCTTCATCTATATGTACTTAGAGAAACTCTAGCAAATTCCCTAAATCCCACCTCCCATCTAAAAAACTGCCATTTTAAAGGATTCAGGGTGAAAATTCACTCTAGCAGATTCCCTAACATGCCCTTATTTTTTAGAGTCCACTCTAAAAATGGAGGATATTCCTAATTTTTTACATAGTTTGGCCAGATCTCGAAAAGCATCGGCCTGAGCCAAATACCAGTACATCTTCTATCTTAGCTCTGCTCTGGCCGGACAACTTATTATGCAAAATATTTCTATTCTATCTCAAGTATTCTAAACCATATCATTTTCATGCTTTCTCTTCATGCATGAGCTCCAACACACAGTTCTGCTGCATCTGGCCTCTAGAGCTGCAATTCTATGGCCATTCTCAAACAATGTGTCAACCAATTAGCTTAACTACCAAAACTAAATAATTTGGGCGACCATACAAACTGGATCCAAATAGACTATCAACACCTCCGTCCGACCTCCAGCAACCAGTACAGAGATGGAACGGACATACGAATCAGTAACAATCTTATATAGAAGTCGGGAGATACAAGGGAGATTTGGGATGAGAAACAAAGGGAATTACGTATGTTGTCATAACGGTTCAACCGATAAAGATCTTTGTAGAATATGTAGGAGCCAATATGAGCATCCAAGTTCCACTATTGGTTATTGACCGGAGAGGTGTCTCGGTCATGTCTACATAGTTCTCGAACCCCTAGGGTCCACACGCTTAATGTTCGATGACGATATTGTATTATATGAGTTATGTGATTTGGTGACCGAATGTTGTTCTGAGTCCTGGATGAGATCACGGACATGACGAGGAGTCTTGAAATGGTCGAGAGGTAAATATTGATATATAGGACGATAGTATTCAGACACCAGAAGTGTTTCGGAAGGTACCAGATACATATCGGGTCACCGGAAGGGGTTCCGGGCACCCCCGGCCAAAGATATGGGCCTTATGGGCCAAGAGGGAAAACGCACCAGCCACAAGGGGCTGGTGCGCCCCACATATGGGCCGAACCAGAGGAGAAGGAAAGAGGGGAAGGGAGAAGGAAAGGGGGGATTCGGCCTACCCCTTCCTTCCCTACTCCCTCCTCTTTCCTTCTCCCTCCGACAAATAAGGCAGGGGCGCCGGCCGTGGGGAGATCCCAAGTATGATTCGACTTACTTGGGCGCCTCCTGGCTGCCTCCCCTCTCCCTCCCACCTATATATATGTGGGGGGCGCCCCTAGCACACACCAGACAATTGGCTAGCCGTGTGCGGTGCCCCCCTCCATCGTTTACACCCTCGCACAGAATCTGAAAGGAAGAGTCTGAACAAGGAGATTCTTGAGCTCGCCAAAGCCCACACTGTTGTGAGGAACAATAAGATAGAGTGGCATTCAAGGCTAAAAATGGATGTTTCACAACTTTGTGATCGTAGAAATGATGAGATCAAACGTTAAGCAGATCTTGCTCGGCGAAGAGAAAAGGAAGAGAGGCGTCAGAAAGCTAAGGCAAGAGTTAACAAACCGAAGGCAATCTCAGATCCTCGTATTCAACCTGTATCAACTGATGCTCCTGTTGATACAAGTGCTCCTCTACAACAGATACTGATACGTCTCCAACATATCTACTTTTCCTAATGCTTTTCCTTTTGTTTGGACTCTAATTTGCATGTTTTGAATGAAACTAACCCCGGACTGACATTGTTTTCAGCAGAACTACCATGGTGTTGTTTTGTGCAGAAATAAAAGTTATCGGAATGGAACGAAACTTTGCGAGGATTTTTTACACAATAAAAGAGAATTTATGGAGCCAAGAACCACCGGAGGGGGACACCTGGGTGGGCACAATCCACCAGGGCGCGCCTGCCCCCTAGGCACGCCCAAGTGGGTTGTCCCCACCTGGTGGCCCCGCAGACCCTAAAACCGATGCTATAAAATCCTATTTTTCCAGGAAAAATCAGGGAGAAAGAATTATCGCGTTCCACGAGACGGAGCCACCGTCACCTCCCGTTCTTCATCGGGAGGCCAGATCTGGAGTCCGTTTGGGGCTCCGGAGAGGGGAATCTTCAATCTTCGTCATCACCAACCCTTCTCCATCGCCAATTCCATGATGCTCCCCACCAGGAGTGAGTAATTCCTTTGTAGGCTCGCTGGTTGGTGAGGAGTTGGATGAGATTCATCATGTAATCTAGTTAGTTTTGTTAGGACTTGATCCCTAGTATCCACTATGTTCTGAGATTGATGTTGCTATGACTTTGCCATGCTTAATGCTTGTCACTTTGGGCCCAGGTGCCATGATTTCAGATCTGAACCGTTTATGTTATCACCATTATATCCATGTTATAGATCATATCTTGCAAGTTATAGTCACCTACTACGTGTTATGATCCGGCAACCCCGGAGTGACAATAGTCGAGACCACTCCCGGTGATGACCTTAGTTTGAGGAGTTCATGTATTCACCGTGTGTTAATGCTTTGTTCTGGTTCTCTATTAAAAGGAGGCCTTAATATCCCTTAGTTTACAATTGGACCCCGCTGCCACAGGAGGGTAGGACAAAAGATGTCATGCAAGTTCTTTCCATAAGCACGTATGACCATTTACGAAATACATGCCTACATTATATTTATGAACTGGAGCTAGTGTCGTATCGCCCTAGGTCATGACTGTCACATGATGAATATCATCCAACATATCACTGATTCAATGCCTACGAATTTCTATTATATTGTTTCTTGCTAAGTAATAGTGCTATCGTTTTGCACTTGCTACAAATTACTGCTATCACTATTACCATTGCTATTGCTATTGCTACTACTATCAAAGCTATCATATTACTGTGCTACTGGTCACTTTGCTGCAAATAATTAATCTCCATGTGTGACTGAATTGACAACTCAGTTGCTAATACTTGCAAATATTTTTTGGCTCCCCTTGTGTCGAATCTATAAATTTGGGTTGAATACTTTACCCTCGAAAACTGTTGCGATCCCCTATACTTGTGGGTTATCAAGACCTTTTTCTGGCACCGTTGCTGGGGAGCATAGCTATATTTGTTGAGTCACTTGGGATTATTATCAATTTATCACTATGAAGAATCTGAAGGATGCTAAGCCCAAGATATTTCCCTCTAAGACGAGGGGAGGTAAGGAACTGCCATCTAGCTCTGCTTTGGATTCACCTTCTATTATAAGTAAACTTGCAACACCACCACATGCTATTAATCCTGATATGTTGCAAGTTATTAATGATGCTATTTCTGCTATGAATGATACTTATGATGGTGCTAGTACCTTGCTTCATGATTTTGTGCCATTAGGTGAATTTCTCGATGAACAAATTGCTATAGTAAGACAACATGATATTGTTGAAACTGATGATGAGCTTGAAGATGAAAATCTCGAAACACCTACTAGAACTAGTCCTCCCAGATATGAATTGCCTAAGGTACCGGAAGGTTATGTTATGAATGAAGAGACAACTAGAGACATTCTTGTTTGTAAGGATAGAGATGATCTAGAGAAATTATTATGCAAGTATAAAGAAAAATCCTTGAATGCTAGAATGCAATATGATCCTAAGTTTGCTACTTCACCTATCTTTATTGATGATAAGGATTATGAATTCTCTGTCAGCCTAGACTTAATTAATTTGGTTGAATCTGATCCTTTCCATGGTTATGAAACTGAAACTGTCGTGGCACATCTTACTAAGTTGAATGACATAGCCACCCTTTTTACTCATGATGAGAAAACTCGCTATTACTATATCCTCAAATTATTCATGTTCTTACTAAAGGGTGATGCTAAAGCTTGGCACAATACTCTTACTCCTGGTTGTGTGCGTAGTCCCTAGGATATAATTTATTACTTCCCTGAAAAATATTTCCCTGCTCATAAGAAACAAGTTGCCTTGCAGGAAATATTTAACTTTGTGCAAATTGAAGAAGAGACTCTCCCACAAGCTTGGGGGAGGCTTCTCCAATTGCTTAATTCTTTGCCTTATCATCCTCTTAAGAAAAATAAAATACTTGATATCTTCTATAATGGACTAGCCGATGCTTCTAGGGATTTCCTAGATAGTTGTGCTCGTTGTGTATTCAGGGAACGAACTATTGGGCAAGCTGAAGAATTATTGAATAACATATTGAAAAATTATGATGATTGGACTCTCCCTGAACCACCGCCTAAACCCACTCTAAAGAAGAGGGGTATATTATATCCCAGTCTTGAAGATATGCAAGAGGCAAAGAAATCCATGAAGGAAAAAGGTATTGAAGCTGAGGATGTAAATTTTTTACATCCTATTGAAGAAATACATGGACTTGATACACCGCCACCTCCTAAGGTGTTAGAGGTAAATTATCCAATGAAATTCAATGATAATGACAATCCTCACAATATGCACCCTAGCCAATGTCTTTATGAGTTTGAAAATTACACTGGTATAGCGACGTGCTATACAAATGGTTTTTAACCCCCTTCCGCGACAACATTTGGAACCATCGCCAAGTGAGTGTGGGCGATAGGGAGGTCCTTCCCACACGACCTAGAAATCGTCAGGGATAAGCCCTCCTAGGACACAGGCTGGGGCCGTGTGTGATCGGGCGAGGCATCGAAACCCAATCATTTCCGTAGGTATGTACATCCCACATGGTAATCCGAGAAAAACATTTCCGTAGGTATGTACATCCCACACGGTGAATCCCAAAAAATCATTTCCATAGGTATGTACATCCCACACGGTGAATCCTAGAAAATCATTTCCGTAGGTATGTACATCCCACACGGTGAATCCTAGAAAAACATTTTCGTAGGTATGTATATCACACACAGTTCTTTGTGTGGAAACGTTTGTGCAAGGTGGCCTAACGCAAATAGTTTGATGTCGTAAGTCGTGTGTG